GGGGATGTGGGAAGCTGAGGCGACAGCCTTGATCATTCAGGTGAATAATTAAGGAAATAATTTTTAAAAATTAACCACAATTATGAACACAATGCAGTCGACAACAGAAACTGAAATATAATAATGCATACCGGAAACGTATACAATGCTATAAGCTGGTATGACCTCAATAAAATAATTTTAAAAAAATTAACCACAATTATCAGAATGCTCTGGTTGAAGAAATAAAATAGGGTCTAAATTGTGCAAAGAGTGACCTCAATCTTCTGCTTTACTTTGTCATAAAGCTGGTATTAAAATATGAAATAATTGCTTTAAGAAATCATTGAAACTTTTGAAGCTCTCAAGCAATTTTGTTTCAAGTGTTTTCATGCAAGGAGTCACAACAGGAAGAAAGGTATAGATGCCATCAAATTAGATTACAGAAAAACTCCCTCTATTTCACTTTATTTAATGTGACACATAAAGAAAACCCTGCACAAATATCTGTCTTTAATTTCTCTAGTGTAAAAAAAGAAATATATTGTGTCTGGCAGAATGAAACAGATGAAATAGACTGGGTGCATTTAAAAAAAGAAGAGGGGGGTAGAAATCAGAGGAGTACAATGAGCTTTCAAAGCCACTCCAGCAGTAGGGATAAATAATTTAATAAACTCAACTTCATATTCTTTTTATCTCCCCAGTGTAATAAGCACATATTAAAAAAATAAAACCTTAAATTCATGAATACTTGTGATTAGAGTAGCAGCCAGTGGATAATGAAAAAACACAAAACAATATCTATGTGAGCATTTAACACATGTATGCATACCTTCTAACTAATAGATACATTTTTCCAGATGAAAGGTCACAATTGCTTAAATTTATGAACATGCAGTTCAAATTTAAATTAGGGTTTCTAAAACACAGAAACCTTGTATTCCTACATTTCTCAACATAATAAAGTTTTTCTTTAAATCTAATAAGGTGACTATGCATTACTTTGTGTATCCTATATAAGTTAAGCAGGTTTACAAATGGGGGATAAGTTACCAGGGAAATAGCACTTCAGGAAAAACTATTACGCCGTTGTTATTTTGAATGTTTCAAAGTGTTAAGGATCACAATACTTAATGATTTTATACTCATTAACAGTATGAAAATTTATGATAATGGTGTGCTTGTGACTATTTTGGATTTCTTTTCTCAATGGTACCTTTTAAATCAAGTCTGCATAGTTAACTAAGTAAATGAAATGAAAAAGCCAAGTCAGTTAGACTTTAAAATCTCAAATACCATTCAAATGTAAGCATCTCAAATTATCATTAAATCAAGAGATTCTTGGATTTTTTTTCCCTTCAATTAGGTTAGTTTTCTTCAATTATGCTTCTATTATTAGTTCATGTCAAAGATGTCTGCACAGCATACCTCTGAAAACAATTAAGCGCTTACATCCTAGAGCATGGGACACACACAAGCTTTTATTCTAGTACTATTAAGATTATGTTTATAGTAAAAAAAAATAATATAAGTAAGACTGGTGTCATTTGAGTTGTTTTATAAACTTTTCACATAAGTAAAAAATTGATTTTAAGCTATCTCTATGTATTATGTAATCATTTGAAAAAACTAGCTCAAGAGGTCAACTAATATTTCAAAAAAAATTACTATACAGTAGTTAAATAATTTCCCACAAAACAAATCTAGCTCCAAAGCCTAGATTAAAATCAGCTCAATTACCCAAAAATATACTAAATAATTTAAATTTCTCTCCATAGGTCATTTCAACAACAACAAAAATAAAGCATAGAATACACACTCAGAACAGTTTAATTTTCTTTCAGCAATGAGAGTGGCTAAGCTCACTGAAAAGATTCAGCTACACAAGGCAGTTCATTTCACATGTTCAGTGTAATAGAAAATCACTGTGTAGCAGCAACAAGCAGCACTTGCACTGGAGCATTATTCTAGGGCGCCCAGTTCACCCACAGCGATCACAGCGGGTGGGTGAATCCCATGTTATGTAAATCACTGTCAGCTCCCAGTGTAAAGGGTGCTGAAGGAAGCAGCTCAGAAATCAGAGTCCTGGTGTCCCTGGAACTGAATGACTTCACTTCCCTGGAACACTCTAGGACTAAGGAGTTTCTTAGTGCTTTTCTCTCCATCCATTTCTCTTCTTCAAAGTGCAAAGGCCCCGGTTACACCAATTAGTTTGCACAAAGTGCCTCGGTGTTTAGCTTCGCTTTGACCCAATTAAGCCGCACACTGAGCTCCGAAGATGCGCCACCTGCGCGCCTGGCTCCAGCGAGGCCGGCCCGGCGCCCCTCGCGTCCTTCGAGTAAGACCCATCCGGACCGCCGCGCCACGGTCCTCTCGAACGGCCCCGGGGCCTCTGCGTCCCACCTAGGCTGCCTCAGGGCCTCGACAACCTGGGGTATTTGCAGGTAGCCCAACAAATCGAGAGGCGAGGTCTCGGCCGAGTAACTCTGGCCTGAACCCAGGGGAGAGAGCGCTGGGCGCAGGGGCCGTGGCCGGAGACCAGAAAGCCCCGGGCTCGGCTGTGACCACACGTGGGCCCGGGCGGCAGCAGGGGCTGGGGGTGGGTGGGGAGAGACCGTGGCCTGGGGCAGACGTGGAAAGACCGGGGACACCAAGTAAGGTTTTAAAATAACTAGCACTCATAAAGAAAGCCTATGGGACACTGAGCAGACGGAGGAAACCAGGATGGCCAGGGAGTGCGGAGTAGTGGGAAAAACGGGACCAGCGGGAAGCACATGGGGACCTGCGCTGGGTGAGGGACAGAGGTGGCTTTTCCCCAGGGACCATGGCGTATCTTCGCCTTCGTGGTCGCAGATTCTCGGGCTCTGATTTGCCTCCTCTTCCAACTGCCAAAAGGTAGCAGTGCGTTCACCCGCAACGCCTGGAAACTGAGGAGGGGCTGTTCGGCGTCCCCATCCCTGCTCCTAAGGGAATGGAAGGTTCTCAGGAATAGAGTAGATGGATGACATGAGCCCCAAATCTAATATACTATTTTAGGCTAAACCAGGATCTATCACTCTTGGATAAGGAGAAAGTAAATAATAGGTGGCTTTGTGATGCTGTACCTGTCCAAAAAAAGCTGGAGAGAAAAGTGGGAACCCTGACAAGATCTTGTTAAAAGTGGCTCTGAGAGAAAGTGCCTACAAACCTGTTATCAGCAGTTATAAGATTTTTCTGGAAAGATTCTTAATTTGAAAGAGACTGCCTCTAAATTAAAGGTAAGCAATTAAAAATCTGCACAGATTTTAAAACCATTACATAAACCCTAGGTAGTATCTTTTTCGTTTCCTGTACATTGACACAACTGGTACCGCGAGAAGAAAAGATGTTGTGCATAAATCCATTTCACCCTCCTGTTTCAAGGTTCCAAAAGAAATGTTGATTTCTTTCAAATTTTTCCAAAATGATATTTAAATTAAAAAACCTTGGATGGCTGCAAATTAATTTTCTTTTAAAAGCCTAACCATTTTCCCTTAATCAAATCACATGAAGTAGTGTAAATTTTGAAGTCTACTGTCAGGTCACCACTAAGGACACTTAGGAGATATATCCTTAATTATACCTCTATAAACAAGCCAGAAAGCTCAAACCTGCAAATTTTCAGGACAGTTATCTGCTAGTAGGTCTCATCTCTATGATCTCTCCTGAATTTCACATAATAAAATACAGCTCACTATGAACGCACATTAAAATAATCTCCCGATCACAGAGAGTTTATTTTTCAAATATTTCTACCACTGTGTACTAACCTTAGGGTCCTACTTGTGACGCTGGGTGAGTCTCCCAAAGTACAAAGAGGACAGCAGATGGGGGGGGGGGGGAATTAACCTTTTTTTTTAAACATCCTAACTTAAACTGGGGTAGACAACACCTAACACGCTCAGCAATAATTTTCAGATTCCCTTCAACAACTGCAAATGAGGAAAAAACAGAGATAAAACACTGCAAAACGTTAAAAAAAAATCACTCTAACATATAGGAATATCCAGAAAACTACACAGGTATTATTGCATTTAAAGCCAACTTGCGCTTACATGAAAGAGCAAACTTTCAACCTACATTTAAAAAGACCTCGAGGATAACAGACATTAATTATCTTACGCTAAATGCAAGTTAGTGACTTTTGTTTTGGAAAACCCCATCTAGTTCACTCATTGATGGATGACCATTAATACACCTGTATTTGCATTTCGGCGGTAAAAAGACAAGCAGGGTTTTCAGCACGGAAGAGAACCACTTTGCCAAGTCTTTTCAGAACGTCAATATGCTTCAAGTAATACCAAGGCAGAGAGATTCCTTTTGATTTCCAAAACTGTCTAGGTGGCCTGGGTGGTTTTCTGCCGGCAGCAGTCTCCTACCTTTAGTTGTGTGCCTATATCCACGAGGGGGGATTAATTAGCCGGGTTGGAGCTGAAGGAGGCTGTCGTGACGAGCCCAGTGGCGATTGGCCGCCAGCCTGCCTGGCCCTGCCTTTATAATTTCCACACGAGTGCATCTGGGCTCTTAGACAAACCAACAGCAGCTTCTTCTGACATATACACACGCACACTCACCCCCGACACACACTCAGCACACTTTTCCTCCATTTGATTAACAGTCCTGCACACACAATGATTACGGGAAAGCGTAAATAAATACGGAAAGGGTTGCTTATTTTGACTACTGGAAGAGCTTTGCTGGGTCTCGGCGCAACTTTTGTTTTTATTACTGAGAAGGTGATCTCTCCATGCGTTTCTCTCACACAAGGATTCTTTAAGGGGAGAACAATCTTTCACTTTAAGACCGGCTGGGCTCAAAGATAAAAGGAAGGGAAAGCGGTAGCTAGGAATCCACAGCTGCAGCACATCGGAAAGACGTTTTTGATACATTTCTGAGCGCAGCGGCCCGTTTCTCCACCGAAGTTGGCTCCAGCTCTAGCAGCCGCATTGGATCCCACAGCTTACTGCGAGACTCCGGTGTACAATCCGGATCTCTGCCCCAACATGATCGCGGCCCAGGCCAAGCTGGTCTACCATCTGAATAAATACTACAATGAAAAATGCCAAGCCAGGAAAGCTGCCATTGCCAAAACTATCCGGGAAGTCTGCAAAGTAGTTTCCGACGTACTGAAAGAAGTGGAAGTGCAGGAGCCCCGGTTCATCAGTTCTCTCAACGAGATGGACAATCGCTACGAGGGCCTCGAGGTCATCTCCCCCACTGAATTCGAGGTGGTGCTTTACCTTAACCAAATGGGGGTGTTCAACTTTGTGGACGACGGCTCCCTGCCCGGCTGCGCGGTGCTGAAGTTGAGCGACGGGCGCAAGAGGAGCATGTCCCTCTGGGTGGAATTCATTACCGCCTCCGGCTACCTCTCGGCGCGCAAAATCCGGTCCAGGTTTCAGACGCTGGTGGCTCAAGCCGTAGACAAGTGTAGCTACAGGGATGTGGTAAAGATGGTGGCAGACACCAGCGAAGTGAAACTGAGAATCCGAGATAGGTACGTGGTGCAGATCACCCCGGCTTTTAAATGCACCGGGATCTGGCCGAGGAGTGCTGCCCACTGGCCACTTCCCCACATCCCCTGGCCGGGACCCAACCGGGTGGCGGAGGTCAAAGCGGAAGGGTTCAATCTCTTGTCCAAGGAGTGCCACTCCCTGGCCGGCAAGCAGAGCTCGGCGGAGAGCGACGCATGGGTGCTGCAGTTTGCGGAAGCGGAGAACAGACTGCAGATGGGGGGCTGCAGAAAGAAATGCCTCTCCATCCTCAAAACCTTACGGGATCGTCACCTTGAACTGCCGGGTCAGCCCCTGAACAATTACCACATGAAGACTTTGGTTTCCTACGAGTGTGAAAAGCATCCCCGGGAGTCGGACTGGGACGAGTCTTGCCTGGGTGATCGGCTTAACGGGATTTTGCTGCAACTTATCTCCTGCCTGCAATGCCGGCGGTGTCCTCACTACTTCCTACCGAACTTAGATCTGTTTCAAGGCAAACCTCATTCGGCTCTCGAGAACGCTGCCAAACAAACGTGGCGACTGGCAAGAGAGATCCTGACCAACCCGAAAAGTTTGGAAAAACTTTAGAGGACAATTTAATCGAGAGCCGATAGGTGATTACTCTTCTCAAAGTCCTAATTAAGTGTAAACTTCCTGTTGGATTCCTATCTGATATTCCACTTGATAGTGCAAACAATCTCTTCCTTGAAAAGGAATAATAATACAATGTTTAGGCTTCATCTCACCCACCCCTCCAAGGGGAGCAAAACAAAAAGGGGACGCAGATGGAGAAAAACCCAAACCCACAAGTATTAGAAGACTTCTTTACAAAGGATTTCCTATCTCCCTTGAAAAGTACACAGTTACACCCGGAAAACAACCTGGCTGTAATGCAAGACCACAGCGAAGCTCCGCCTAATTATCAAAGGATTATCACAATCCTGGTGATGTAGGTGCCTCTGCCTGTGAGTAAACACGACTTGGATATGCCATCTGAAGGAAAGTGTAATGTATATTTTGATTTGTAACAAATATTGTGATCTCACATTGTCTTTGAAAGTGTGGATGTTGGTGTTTTGTGATTTGGTGAACAGAAGTTAAATTGCCATTTTGGATACTTCCAGACATTTTCCACTAACAGATAACATTTAAAGGTAGATTTCCTCCTGGTACTTTTATCTGTCTTTGAAAGTGTCTGAACTTTAAAAAGTTTACATTTTGTTTCAAATATATTGCTTGTTCTATTTCTAACATTCCATAAATATACTTGAAATGTTATTTAAATATATTCAAAGAAATTTGAATTCAGCTTATATAATAACGCTTGAATATCTGAATTATATATTTGAAAAATGCACTTGAAATACACTGGATAATTACTTTCGTGATTTAGATTTTAATTTCTGTTGCTGGTTTTTATTTAATTAGAAGCTAATAAATGAAGTAAAAAAAGTTGTTGTGTCTCAGTTTAAATTGTTTTTCTATCAAAAGATTTTGAAAACTGAACCCACTTGAATATTTTAAACATTTCGAGAAATACACTAATGAATCATTAAAAAAAACCCTTAAAACGTTGGAGAAAAGGTGTTTCAGTATAGCTAAGAAGATAATAGTCTACTCTCAGTTTCTCACTTATTTAGAAGAGTATTCCTTTCTACAACAGACACAATTTAAATCTACCCTTGAAAGCTTGCTCTTCTGGGTTAGTATTTCCGCAGGATTTTTGATAATATAAGGAAGAAATATGTTATGACAGTAAAGATTGCTAAGTTAAAAATCAGACTAGCTCAGAGAAAATGAACTTAAAGTCATAATGAAACTTTTGAAATTTGTGTATGAAAGCTAACTATGCTAATAAAAAGATAATTTCTGAACATTTTATGTCAAACCTGGTTTTATGCAGTAAGGGTTCTGTTAGCTAAATAATCAGAAATCCAAAATTCCTTTTTACTTCACAGGGCAAGCTAAGGATAAAAGCATAAAGACAAACTTTAAATTATTTAAAATTAAATACACTACATTCAAACTCATTTTAAAAATTCAGTTCTTCTGGAGCTAGAAATCAAAGCAGTCCTGTGACTATCCTTCAGAGAACGTTAATTGTCAACAAGTGCTGACAGGGCTCATCCCCTCTGGGCCTTAAGGCAGTTAGTTAATTCAGGTGGGGGCAAAGTTTAGACTTTCACTTGCTATTCTACTTTATAATGCTTTATTTCCGTATAAAATTAAATAGAAATAATAAAGTTCTGGCTCTATGGGAGCATTTGTCTTTGACTATATTAGAATAACTGCTTCTGAAAAATAAACTAAAGGAAGATCTTTGTAAAATAATGCTTGACTATCTAGCATGACATTTATGCTCTTGAATTCTTAACTTCAGGAAAAAGTTAACAAATTATACAGTAACATAAAAGTTAAAACAATAAAATTGATTTCAGAAGAAAAGTGCAGGGGTGTAGAGCTTCCGTAATACTCAGGTTTTAAAATATACCCAGTAAGATATAATAAACCATTATTTATGCATTTCAAATCGTCCAAATATGTATTTTCTGGTATTACACCCACAGAAGAACACAAACTTTAAACATCTGAGCCCTAGGATATTACTATGTATACACATTTAAATAAAAGCTTCTCAGAGAATCAGTTTTTCTTCCTCTTAAATTCACATGTAAAACCCACTCATTTCAGGAGTGAAAAATGGATGTAATAATGGAGATGAATTTATATCTAAATGGTTTCTCACCCAGTTTCCTTATAACCTTTCAAAGAATAATAATTCACATTGAAATCTACACTTCTGGAAATTAAAAGTGATCATAATAAGAAATTTCATAAGACCCTTCCTAGTCTTCCCAGAGAGCCTCAGATGCTGTACCCCAGGGACGTGGGAGCAATTGGCTTAACTACCACATCAGCCCCAGTGCACACAAAGGCACTCACAGACAGACTGTTAAAATGTGCATGCTCTGGCAATACAGGATTTAAAATCGTTAATATATTCTTCAATCCCATAAAATAGAGCATGTGTTATTTCATTCATTTTATTTTCTATGAGAAAGATGGGACTGTGCTCCCCTCCCCCACTGTCATTTAAAACCAAGTAAAACTGAAAACCACTTCCTGCCACAAAGCCACCAGTACTGTATACGGAATCATTTTAACTTACTTTCGTGTCGATCTTCTTGAAGGCAGGATCATCCTCATCTACCTCGAAGTAGATTTCTGTCGTAGTGATGGAGAGAGTCCCCTTGGCTACCACCACGGGAGCGATGAGCTGGGCAGGAGTGCTGAGAACCACTGGGCCTGAAAGACAAGGGCACTGAGTCAGGCTGAGTCCCTGTGACCCTCTCCCGCTCCCTCCCAGAAGGGTACCATAGGGTTTAAATTTTAAAGATGCGCTAAAAAAAATGGTTCCTGTACTATGCGGCAAGCTCCTTTCATGTGAGATAAGGTCTGCTTAGCTTTTACACATTACCTTATAACGAGACTAGAGATAGATAATTCTATAAAAACCCAAGAGGTCAGGATACCGAATAAGTGACCCTTAGCAAGCAAGTTTGCAACCTCCGCCTAGAAATCCTACATGGTTGGTGAGACGCTGCCATTAGCCAACTTAAAAGTGCAGAACGGACTCTAACGCCCCGTTCTCCACTGAGCACCACCGGCTCTCAGAGAGACCCTGGGCAGTCAGCACTGCCCCCAAGACCAGCCGTCGTGTAAAGCCGCTCCACTCGGCAGCAGCGTTCCCCAAGGATGGGGCGGGAGGAGGTGAAGGGGTATAGGATCTAAATATATAAATTTCACCGTACTAACATGTTTGCATCTTGCAGAAGATTAATATCGGCGTCCTAAGGCGCGCCACAGACACAGATACGCGCACACACGGACATTATATACACCTCTTATGCAGAAAAGAACGAAAATCGCAGTAGTGGTTTTCTCACCGAGAATCAGTCAAAAGTGATGAAACTGCAGGACGCCTGAACAAAACGATTCTCAGAAAAGTGTCCGAAAAGTGCTCCTTCTTAACTTTTGAAACTAGAGGAACTAAGTAAGCTTCAGTCAGAGATTTTTAGAAAATGTGCCTACTCAGGTGCTTACTTCGAATTCCCTCAATCTGAGTTAATGTTGAAAATTACAATTTCACGTTTCAGAACATTAATTCAAAGGGGGATTACAAAACTTCCCCTTCACAGTTCCCCGAAGGGGAGGCGTTCCTCGCTATCCTGGACTTAAAATACAGACAAGGAAATGAGAAAGAAAGAACTCCTTCACTTTTCTGTAGCAAGGGCGCATTACATCCCCTTCCATCCCCCCAGCCCGCTCAAGTGCATAGAATCAAGTCGCAGTAACAGGAAGAGAAAGACAGAGCCCCTCGGCGGCTCCTCGCGGAGACCAGCTCGCCCCGCCACGGCCACGGCCACGGCCACGGCCCCGGCGAAAAGGCCCGCCGGCCGGCGGGGAGTGCAGAGAAGTTCGCGTTTCCAGGCAGTAGCACACACCGACTTCGCGACCGTCCTGCACAAAGCCGTGCCCTTTCTGCTGCGGAATGGGAATCGGCGGCTGTCGCACTTAAAGGGGGTGGGTAAGAAGCAAACTGTGTCAGTGTCAGCCTTCGCCCCGATCAAGACCGCCTGGGTCAGCCTAAAGCAAAGCCCTCTCTTTTATTTTACTGCTTTCCACCCCCGAGGAGCCCGCACCGGGGGGCCCGGCCCGGGGCGCGCGGTCTCCTGGCCCGGGTCTCGCGCAGGCAGTTTCCGCCGCGGAGCCGATCGGAGTCGGGATCCAGTACGGCTCCACAAGGTTTTTCTTTCCAAAGGGCGAGGCGGTCGATCTGAAGCGCCACTTTAAAGGCTCATCAATCTTAATCTAGGTTGCTCAAGTAATTACGCCCGAATCTCTTGTACGATTACAAGTGGATTTGGGTTTCTATTCCCCAGGCCCTCCTTTGTGTTTATTGGAGGGTCTGTGCGCGCTCCGCGGCGCCTCCTGCCTCCCGCGCCCGCTCCAGTCCCCCAGCGCTCGGGCCGGTTCGAACCGCTCCCTTAACCCTTCAGCCGCCAGGACGCTCCTTTGGACGCCACTTTTCATATTTCCCTTCCGGAGAAAATCAGCTTTCCTCGTGATTGGGGTGAGAAAGAAGGTGAGGTGATTCACATCGGAAACAAAGTGTGGTCTTCTGTATGGTTGGGCCTTGCTAAGACCTCAGAAAAGTCGTCATTCTAAACACAGAAGGCTAACGATTTCTATTTTAATAAAGGTTTTTGGCATTTGGAGACGAAGAATGGTCAAAAACATTAAAAATGGCGAACTGCTTCTTTCTTTAAAAAAGTAATTTAACATATCCAAACAATTAAATTGAGAAAATTGAAAAAAATCACGAAATACATTATCAAAGCCATACACACTGATTTACTGAAATATATTACGAATTTTAAGTACCCAGTTCCGTGAATTTTTAACAGGGAACACATTTTCTCTACTAGTTTCTCTGCGTGCCTGAAAGGAGACTGCACTTCCTTTTGATTTTACTCCAATCTCCTTCTATTGAATTGAGATTTTCTAGAGGGTTATGAAAGGGCTTCGAACTGGGCCTTCTTTAAGAAAGACACATCATGAAATATTCAGCCTTAATAGTGTGTCATTTTTACCCTTGTCCTTTGGAACTCTCCAATTACAACTTCCAATTCCATAGCATGTGTAAGGAGCACCGAGTCTTTTTGTTGCAGCCTTCAGGGAGCAAACCAGCCACGGCGAGAACACAGAATTAATCCACTACGGCAATAGAGAGAGGGGATTATGTTTTAATCCCCTTTGGGGAAGCCTCTGGATTTTAGGGATCCGATATTAAAATGTTTACACAAGTCACAATCACAAACCAGCAGATCTTCTATATGGAAGATCTGGTTATTTGAAAACCTCGATCCCTTTCCAAATAAAAAGACTTTAGAAAGCGCAGCATCTCTGGATGCCAGAGATGATCTAGCAGGTTCTGTTCTAGAGGACAACTAAATATAAATTTGACCTCCTGACCTTGCTTAGCATGGTGAATTGGGTACTGAAAGTAGATATATTCATTCCAATCACTATTGTAGCAACAAAAGGATAAACTGTAATAATGTTCTCAGCACACAGAGAAGTATAGTGATAGATATTGAAGGATAGTTAAACAAATGGATGGGACAAAACCTTCTCCCCTGGTATTAATGCACACAACAGTCTAAAATTCCACCATCTAATGTGGTAACTAAAGGAAAAATAAACATTGCTTTTCAGAATTGTCAATATAATGTTTGAGAAATATTGACCCATTACTATTTTTGAAAAAAGGATAGAAGTATGACTTGTCATTAATTTAAATGCTAATTTAAAATATGAACCAGAACAAAGATCACCCAACATAATGGAAAGAATCTTTAAAAGA